CTGCTTTTTCAGCCAGTTTGTTGATTTTCGCCTTCAAGTCTTCAAAGTTATGTGATATTAAACATGATTAAATTACTGAGGTACCCAAATTTTATCCAACCCAGTGCATAAATTCTTTTAACTTTTCTTTATACCGTTTTATTCATAATTATGCACATTTTTAATTAGTTTTCAGAAAAATGCTACGTACATCTCGAAGGAATTTTATTGCTGTCGATGCAGAATCATAGTGTCACATGATTTAATATTGATTACACTCTTACTTGAATTTCGTGTAAGATGTGACGCGGGTTCGAATCTCAGAAGGGACATGAGTTCCTTCAAGGTTGCAGATACGCCTTGCTGACGAGTGCCAACTAGCACGAAACCTAGGTCCAAGGCTTCCTGCCGATTGCCTCCAACTATCTAATATCATCACAAACAATGTTGATGGCGAGCTACCTAGAATGGTGGCCATATTACAACCTGACTGATAGAATTCAGTCTGCACCAAAGAGAGGACTAGACGCATCACACTAGTTACTAGTGTCAAATCAAGAATGAATTAATATTTCGCAGTTTTAATACGCTGATAATTCTGAAGCATGTGTTAAAATATTATGTAGATCAAAGCTGTTTTTATCATTGTTCTTCATACTTTTACACCCCTTTATGAATTTGAGTAAAGCCAGAAAAACAAGAAGTTTGTACCCAATAAGATGGGGGTATTTCCATTAATTTCGTTGGCTTCTTATCACCTGAGTGCGTAAAGCCTAAAGAAATTATTAAGTTGTTGTACGGAATAATTTTAACATACTAAGAAATATTACTTGAACTCTCTGGGTGAAACCTTCATTAACAGTTGTCTTCGCTCAATACTCAAGATCAGATGGCCAGAGAAGATCAGCAATAAAGATCTCTGAGAGCGAACCAACCCAACAGGAACCAATTGTGAAACAAATAAGCAGGAAGAAATGTAGATGGATTGGCCATACTCTGCGGAAACCATCAAGTGACGTCACTAGACAAGCTGTCAAGGAACTTAGCCCTAAGTTCCTATTGTAATGAAGACGTTTGCGACCGATAAAGACTGTGTATTTCTTTCAAATTTAATTCCAAAACACCAGTATTCCTTGAACGAAATTATATTCTTTGACAATTAAAGTGAAGACAACTACAAAGTCTACAAACAAATGTTAAGTACAAATGAAGTTATAAAGTACTTTTATTCGTATTTTTCCCCGTCTTCATTCAACTTGCAAGCGGTCGAACCATTCGCGCCTTCGAGTTGCCCACCAAAGGCTGCCAGTTCCAATAAACAAACGTTCAATGTTCACGTCCATTGACACAAGACATTGCTCGAGTGGAACCCGAAAGGGAAGCGGCGAGTTGGTCGTCAGTGCAAGGGTGATTTGGAGGAGGTCATGTGAAGAGGAGATGAAAGTGTGTGGGCAGACTTGGAGCCAGGTGAAATCGTTGGCAGAGAACCGAACGCAATGGAGACGTGTGGCTGAAGCCCTATGTTCCTCTAGGAATTAAAGGAAACAATAATAATAATAATAATCTCTGAGTGAGAACTCTATCAGTGTAGTTTTCTGAGCAGTTTTCATTACGTTTTGAGCCTCCTGTCATTAAGTGGCATCATGCAACATTTGGAAGTATTTAATTTAATTTAGATTTTCCCGTCAGTCGACTGAACCGCAATGCTCGGTCCAATGCAGGTACATCCATATGATGAATCCCAATTAAGACGAAATGCGCTTCCTTGATTCCACTGCTAGTCACCATCAACCAACTGATTTACATGTACGTTTAAAGTTCTTCTGTACATAAATTTAATAAAAAATATCTTTAGGCTGTAAGCATGTAGCTGATGAGAAGCTGGCGGAATAAATGTTGGTACCCTGCCATTTTGCACAACCCCCATATTGTTCTTGCTTTGTCCAAATTTATTACTGCTATTATCATCATCTAATTTTTTTCTTACCAGACTGATTGGTTTAAGATGCGGCCCAAACGCTTGCTTTTAATTGCCACTGAAGTACCTTTCTTGTTTGATTGTTTTGCAATAGTCTTTTTCATTATCATAATTTCTTTTTATCTTCCTTTTCGCCTTTTCCGTTATACTGTCTCTTGTGAATTGTGACTAAAAATGTTGATGTCAGTTTTGGTTGGTCATCTGAAGCTGCGCTTAGCTTGTGACAGATAATGGACCATGTTTAGGAGTGAAGAATTCAAGAGTTGACTGCAGGTGCTGAGTATTAAGAAGATATGAAGGACAGTTTATCACCACCCACAGACAAATGATTTGATAGAAAGAGGTAATCTTACAACTAAAGAGTAACTGATGACAAATAGAGGTAATTAGGAGACTAACCAGTCATCGGTATTACTAGAAATCATCGTTCCAGTTGATATATATAGTAGGAAACCTTGACTACCAATACACACAATAAAGTTTGTCCAAACCACCAAAATTGGGATATGAAATGAGAGGAGGAAACGAGACGAAAAGAAATTATCAGAAATGTAAAGTATAAGCAGAAGATCAATGATGCATGGCGATTAAAGTTGGCGATCACGTATACTATAGTGAAAGGTAGTTTACAATTGATGGAAGGCGAGTTTCACGAAAACTCCTTCCAAAGTGCATTGGACCGTACGGTGTAATCAAGACACATGGTTCTGTTTGTACCATCAGTAGAAGAGGCAAACAGAAAAGTGTTAACCCTAACCCTATCTACAGAGATCAATACAATGGGGGTAAAGAATTCAACATCACAGCACGACAAGAGCGGATAGACTTAAGAAGGTCGAGGTTGCTACATCCCGAACTTACTGACTGGGTGGAGGGAGGGGGTTTATGGAGTGTGCAGCTGACATAAAGTTATAAGCAGTAAATAATTGCAACGTGAACATAGAGAAAACAGAGGTGGTGAAGATTCCTGGCCAACAACAACAGCAACAACAATAACAGACAGCAATCAGCCTGATTGGGAGGAATCTGAAAGAAGTAACCTCCTATCCACCTACCTTGGAAGCATCGTTTCAACTACAGGCGGACGGAACTAATGAGGATATCAAGGCGAGGATGGGGAAAGTAAGGTAAGCTTTCATTACTCTCCAGTCTATATGGAGATCAACACCACTTAGCATGGGAAATAAGATCCGAATTTTCAACCTCTATGTGAAGTAATTGCTACTATACTGATCAGAGACTTGGCGCCACATCTGTCTTTGCTCAACACTCAAGATCAGATGGCTGGCCAGAAAAGATCAGCAACAAGGTACCCTGGCAATGAACGAACCAACCCAGTGGGAAACAATTGTGCAACAAAATGCAGGAAAAAAAGGAGGTAGATTGACCATACTCTGAGAAAACAAACCATCAAGTGACATCACACACCAGTCCGTCGCTCGAGTGGAACCTGAATGGGAAGCGGCGAGTTGGTCATCCAAGCGTGATATGAAGGATTTCATGAGAAGAGGATGTGAAAGCATGTGGAAAGACGTTGAACCAGGTGATGGAAACGTTGCTGGAGAGCCGAACACAGTGGAGACCTGCGATTGAAGCCCTATTTTCCTCTAGGAACTAAAGGAGATATTAATGTAATAATAATATAATTGCAGCTTACATGGAGACATGGGAATTATCTTGAAACCATATAGAAAGCATAGAATGAGTGCAATAAAAGAAGAATACGAATAATTTTTTGTGAACTGAAGCTTTCATGTAAGGTGTGTGTGTATTTAGCCATCATTCTACTGGAAATAGGCAATCTGACTGGTAATCAGCAAAACTTTCCAAGTGATTCAATCTTCTATAAGTCGTCATTTCTTTTCAGCTACCATTCCGTATTATTTGTCATCAGTCTAAAAACTTATCATCATTTTCTATAAACAGTCATTTCAAAAAATAATTATTATAATTTTAAAAAAATTCAAAGTCCACAATGTGAATAAGCCTTCCACTAATTTCACTCGCATTTACCCAAATTATTTATTTTATTATCATTTTATTCCTTTACTTTTCCAGTGTAACACAGGGCTTCAACCTAGAGCTTTGAAGTTACGGTAGCAGTGGTTTTTACTTCTAGGGGATGGGATTGCTGGTCCCATGCAGAACATTTCCTCTTTATCAGTCCTATTACTGGCTTAGAGAGGTAAAGGAGTGCATCGGCCGGGGATTGAACCTCCAACCACATGCGTAGTTGGCGAGCATTCTGCCGCTGTGTCATGACGCACATTATATTATATTATAATTGTTCCCTTGGGTTCCTAGTGGAACATACGGCTTCAACTGCACGTCTCCACTTGCTTCTGTTTACTGCTGCAATTTTCACCTGCATCCATGTTAGTCCATACTGTTTCAACTCCTCTTCACACGATCTCCTCCATATCACCCTTGGACACCCCACTGGCCGCCGCTTCCCTTTCGCGTTCCACTCGAGCGATGGCCTGACGCGCGATTTCACCCAGCGGCCTCCTCAGCAATTGTCCAATCCATCTCCACTTTCTCCTGCATATTTGTTGGGCGATTGGTTCTTGTTTCGTTTGTTTGTTCTGATAGTTTCTTGTTGATGATTCTTTCCGGTCATCTTATCTTTAGTGTAGAGCGAAGACAGTTGTTGATAGATGTCTGCAACAGGCTGTTGGAAATATTCTTTGTGATCCGCCAAGAACTGACTTGACGTTTGTATTGAAAATCCGAATTTTGTTGTTGAGTGTTGCTGAGTGACGAAGATTACCAGATTGGTTTCAGGTTGATGGATGTGTTTCTCGCCTTCCCGATTCTCGATTTGACATCCTCGTCCGTTCCTCCTGTAGTTGAGACAATGCTCCTTAGTTAAGTGAATGAAGTGGCCTCTTTCAAATCTCTCCCGTTGATGGTGATTGGCGCTGGATGTTGCTGCTGTTGTTGTTGTTGTTGGTTGGTTGGTTATTTGACGAAGACGCACATTTACCAAAATTAAATTCTACTAAAGAATTAATTGATTGATTTTTGTTGTTGGTTGTTTTAGGTTCGTAAACGAAATCACACTGATCTATGCCCTGTCCATCTAGTTGCATATAAAGGCAATTTAGCTATGCTACATTATTTAATACAGAATGGTGTGAATGTTCATCAGCCCACTTGTACACTTCAACGTTGTCCAGTTCATTATGCTGCATTACGTCAACAAGTGTCATGTCTACAAATGTTGGTAAGTGTTATTCTGTTCAGTATGAATATGAAATATTGTTTAATTTGTTTTTTGAAAGTAATACTAGTACTACTAACAATAATAAGAGTAGTAATAACTTTATTCCAAAGAGTATTTTGATACAAATATGGAATTTCCAGCATACAGTACAGTGCTGTATGGTATCTAGCTTATTTATTACAAGGTTAATAATTAAACCCTTCATGGCATTCGCACATGGTCCGAAGTTCGATCCCCGGTCGACACACTCCTTTACCTCGCTAAGCCAGAAATAAAGCTGGTAAAGGGGAAAGGTTGGACATGAGGCTAGCAACCCTATCCTGTAAAAATAAACACTGCTACAGAAACTTCAAGCCACATGCTTGAAGCCCTATGTTCCACTGGGGAACGTGAAAGAAAAAAAACAAAAAATGGCATTCACACTGATAATATTGTTAAATAAGAATACGAATATAAAATCAAATTAAGTGAAAATATTATCAATGATATAATAATAATGCAAGCGAAAAGCAACAAGTTGGCGATAGAAGAAGCATCCAGTGAAGATAAGACTTCAGATGAACATAGAGAAAACAGAGGTGATGAAGATTCCTGGACAAGAACAACAACAACACACAACGATCAGCATAAATGGGAGGAACCTGAAAGAAACAACCTCTTTTACCTAACTACCTAGGAAGCATCGTTTCAACTACAGGCGAATGGAACTGACGAGGATATCAAAGCAAGAATCGGAAAAGCAAGACAAGCTTTCACTACTCCCAAGTTTGCGTGGAGGTCAACAGCACTCAGCATGGAATATAAGATCCGGATTTTCAACTCCAATTTAAAGCCAGTCAGTGCTACTTACTATACGCATCAGAGACATGGTGAGTCATGAAGAGCACCTCAAACAAACTAAAGACCTTCATTAACAGTTGTCTTCGCTCAATACTACTCAAGATCAGATGGCCAGAAAAGATCAGCAACAGAGATCTCTGGTAATGAGCGAACCAACCAGGAACCGCTTGTGAAACAAATAGACAGCAAGAAATGGAGGTGGATTGGCCATACTCTGAGGACACCATCAAGTGACATCACTAGACAAGCCATTGCTCGAGTGGAACCTGGCCGAAAGGGAAGTGGCGAGATGGTCATCAGTGGAAGGGTGACATGGAGGAGGTCATGTGAAGAGGAGATGAAAAAATGTGGGCAGACTTGGAGCCAGGTGAAGACTCCGGCAGAGAACCGAATGCAACGGAGACGTGTGGCTGAAGCCCTACTTTCCTCTAGGATTTAGAAGAAACAATAATAATATTATTAATAATAATAATGGAGGAATAGCGCTGTTTACTTCGAGTTCAGCCCTCAGTCGGTTATGTCCTGTTTTACACTTTTCTCACCACATAAAATATGTCCCGGCCAAATAAGATACTGTAGGGTTTCTTTGGTTGATCGTCGAAGCATGAAGTCTCCTGCAATTCCTTCTAGTTTTACTCAGCTGATAAGATGCAAGGACAGAGAGTTGTATATCGTGACAATGCTCACGATCCGACAAGATAATATTCGCTAATTTCTTGCATGACTCCATGTGTCTGTCTGTCTACAACAGTATTAACGAGTTGGTCCAGTAACACCCCACTCACTCTACTGACAGCTTATAGTGCTTTTCTCAGTATAAGAAAGTCTTTCTTAAGTAGCCCGGGAAAGATTAAGTTGCGGAGGAGCAGTAAAGAAGAATAGGCAGAATACAAGAATTAACAAATTTAGAAAGTAGAGGCTGAGTGATATCAGATTCATGAAAACTTCCCATTAGAACATTAATAGACAGAAGACCAGTGGTTCAGCGAAGAGTCTCTTTTCGCTGGTGAATTCATTTTCATAGCTGTACAATCGCAAATATATATGGTTGTTTTTTATGTGTGTGTACATTAAATTTCTCAAACGAATATACAATTAGTAAGTTCAGATGGACTGGATGTTGATAGAAAAGGGTAGGTAGTAACAAAAGTGATGAGTTGTCACAAGCGATTGTTAAAGAAGAGTTACGTAATAATGTGAATAGTTTAATGAAAGGGTTGTACTCAGGGTGTACATGGAAACAAAATAACATACGGAATAACGCAAGGGTTTTAAGTAGTTAGAAAAAAATAAGCATACAAACAAGAGTTAAGTCAAATCAACTGAGTTGTTACCATGAGAATAAAAGTGGTTGAATAATTTTCTTTTGTATGCATAGTTATGGTTCTTCCAGCTGAATGACTATGGCTTCTTCCATTATGGGTAAATTTTATTTTGATAAAGTCTCACAGTGTTATACAGTAATATTTACTGATGACGTTGTGCTCGAAACGTCATCAGTAAATATTACTGTATAACACTGTGAGACTTTATCAAAATAAAATTTACCCATAATGGAATTACACTCTACCACAGTGCCCAAGTTTTATTCTTATATCAATGGCTATGGCTTCCGCAATGCAAATACAAGTTTGTCTTAACTTCCTTACGTAGAACGTCAAACGAAATATTTTTTTCGCAGCTAAAACGATGTGAGAATACCAGGAAAGGTGACCAGAGGAAATCTGCCATCCAAGGTATTTAACATTCGATTTGATTTCAACTCCTGTGCCATCTGTGATAGTGGCACCATGTGAACTGACCAGTTCATGAACGTATCGCTTGTGTCCGAAAGTGAAACTATCAACTTGACATTTGGAGGGAATACACTTAAGACCCTTTGACAGGGACCACTGTCTAATTTATAATAAAAAGCTGTTCATTATGTAACAATTTTATTGAGAAGTAACCACTGGCATGGAGACTGTCAGATCATCGATATACTTAACAAATTTGGCTTCGTCAGAATAAGACAATTCATGTAAGAAGAAAGAAAAAGGCGGAAGGAAAAGGAACAGCCTTCTTTGAGTGAGGAACAGCAGCTAGAATGAGTGATGATGTAATGGAGGATTTCCCATAATATACAGAGTACTGCTTCCTATCATAAAATGCAAAAAGGCAACCATTTATTAGTCCAGCACTGTCTCTGGGTTGCAGAAAATTAGTCTGTTTGTTTGTTTCCGACATAGAACTTTGCACATATGTGCGGCAGTTCAAGTCGCCACACTCCCTCCTTGTAGCACACAAAGAAAGAGAAGAAAGTAGGAGAAATGCATAATATAGACAGTAAACAGAGCTGTGAGACAAGGGAGTAGTAATAACGAAGAACAATATAGTTTCATTGGAAATCATGAGTCACAAGGAGTGGATGCAGCTGCGCCATCACTGAGAACGATGAGTTTGAGCCATGTCACCAATTGTTTCCAACCACTGTTTTTCACCGTCCCGAGGACCCCAACCAGTCAGGAAGTCTACACCTTCCTACGTGGCTTAGACTAACTGTTGTAGATTTTATTGACTGGTGTCATGTCTTCGTTTGACCGCCGCTTGCTCTTTTCCAGCCTGACCCTATATCAGCTAACATTACCCGTCAAGGAAGGCGATGACTGGGCATACGTAACACATGTACTAACCATCTCAGTCGATGTAATTTCACAGTCTCGTCGACTGATTTCCCCTCCTTACCTAGCACTCGACTCCTAACCTCAATATTACTCACCTTATCATACCACTTCACATGGGAGATAGAGCAAAGGCACCTATGATCAAAGACAGCTAATATTTTCATATCTTCCGCCCTCAATGGCCAGGTCTCACAGCCATAAAGGAGGACGGAGCGGACTGATGAGCAGTACACACGTCCTTTGGTCGATAGTCAGGTATCACGTCTGCGCCAGAGACGGCGTAAACTGGCATATGCGAAACTAGCCCTCTGTATTCGTGCTGAGATTTCGTTGGCGATCAACCTGTTAGGGCTGATGGTACTTCCCAAGTAAGTGAAGCGATCAACGTGCTCTACCACTTCACTTCCTATTTCTAATCTAGGGGTCGGTGTAGTCCAAGTGTGTATAATCATCTTGCATTTGGCGGGAGAAAATTAGTTTTACAAAAGAGGCTTGAGTACATAGTCAAAGGCAGATTTGTAATCCAGGAAAGCTCGCTGAATATATGTATATGGCACCTCTGTCTAAGATTTATTAATGTGAAATATTCCCATATTATGAATTAAAAGTCAACCCTAACGAAGAATATTGTGTGTAAACTATTGAAATATAATTATACTTTATTTGAAGAATATTCTTTTTTCAATCAATTCTCCTCTTCAGGTTCTTACAATTATGAAATATAATATATTTACTGTAGTTACAATAATAATAGCCAGTTATGCGGTGGATACATTTTTTTTAACGTAGAATAACAGATTAGCAGTTATGGGGTGTCAAAATAAATAAATAGTCGTATTTGTGTGACAAACGTGCTAGGCTGAAATCGATTACAAAATATTGTAAAACGGGAGACAATGATGGTGATTAGTCATAATAGATTTGTAGAGTGTGAGAGGAAAATTGACGGGTTCGAGAACATTTACCAGCTTGGTTCAGGAAGGGGGAAATTAAGAGCATAAAAACCTCGATCCTGTTACAGTTGGTCGATACTGGACATCGCATCGATGTCAACACAGCTTTCAGGGTTATATACCGAATTCCGAAGTCGTTATCACGTACAGTTCGCTTACGTCTTCTACACATAGCTGAAGCTGTTGCAATAAGATCGACTAAACCGGAACTTTCTATCCAAAAAGAACAAGTCCAGACGCTGTTCCTACCATGGCCAAACTTGGATTGATGATTCTTCTTATCACCAAGATTGCTTCTTACCCTTAACCCTCTCGGTGTTTTTGTTTTTTTCCTTTGCCTTTTATTACAATTATTATTATTCGTCATAATTTATGCCCTTCATGTAAGCATTCCCTCAATACTATCGACTTTTCCATTTATACTATCCGGACTTCTTATTATTAGTAATATTATCTCTTTTCTCAATATATGCCTCCACCTGTTTCATTTCACATATTGGTTATTTCATGATGAACCTCTCATCGCAGTCCTACTATCTCCTCTTTAATGCATACCACTTTATACTAGCCACTCTCCTGACACCTTTTATAACCTTGAACTGACTTGTCAATCATCTTCCTACCCCACACTCTACAAATCTATTATGACTAATCACCACCATTGTCTCCCATTTTACAATATTTTGTAATCGATTTCAGCCTAGCACGTTTGTCACACAAATACGACTATTTATTTATTTTGACACCTCATAACTGCTAATCTGTTATTCTACGTTAAAAAATGTGTCCGCCGCATAACTGGTTATCCTTATTGTAACGACAACAAATATTATTGTATGGAGGATTTCATCATGAGCTGACATCAGTTAGAGAACCATTGGAAAACCTGGGAGTACTGGACAGCTGTTTCGTCCTAGTTTGGGACTCTTCATACATACAATTAAACAAAAGCCCTACCAAACCAATACTTGAAAAAACAAATATTATGTTTTATAATTGTAAGAACCTGAAGAGGAGAATTGATTGAAAAAAAGAATATTCTTGGTTCACATTGACCTCTGCCTAATTAGAGATAAAATCAATAACTTGAAGATAAACTTTTACCACAAACTTTTCAAAATGTTTAAAGCATTCTGACATTAATTTTTATCAGTAGATTTGATTAAAACTACTCGGAAAGTAATTGATTACGCAAAAAGCTTTCAGGTAATTAATTTTAAACTACTTCTACTAGAGAGCAAACAGCCTGAGACTCTTCACACTGCACCACCGTGACTCCACCGAAGATTCAACTGGAGTCATAGTGAGAAGGCGTGGACACTGCGGTTTGCCGTGTCTAGTATGAGAACAGATAATCGCCGCAGATAACAATGAATGGTGACGACGTTGTATATTTTGTGAATAAGCAGAAGTCATGACTTATAAGCAATTGCATCTCCTAGCAGTGGCTAAATAATCAACAGGCTTACCTCATAATGTGTTGAGTTCATGAATGCGTGCCGAAACAGTTGTTCTGTGTACGCTGACTTTCTATGTTTCCCAAACTGATGTTAGTTGGATATCTTTTAAAAATGGATTTCATCAGGAATCAGCATCATTAAGTGAATCATTGAGAACTGAAGAGAAATGAAAATAGTAATTATTTTATCCCAGTTGAGGGTAATTTTGAATTTCCCGCTGACTGATGTTTATATTGGGTCGAAATGTTCGGTCTCCCCATTGACATATTAAAACTTCTTTGACGATGCCATGAGATAAACATGATGTTTCTCCGTCTGTGCTACCTAGTAGTGTAATCCAGAACGCATCTTTTTCTCAGAGCGTTTCAGTTAAATATGTCCAGTTAACGAGAGAAAGCGTCACTAAACCAAATAACAGAGGTCATAGTACATCTGCTATGATATCAAAACAGAGTTTACCAAGGAAGATTTAGTGTAATGACGAATTGTTTTTGAACGCATAAAGGTGGTTTAAACTTTCTAATTGCTGGGGCTTCCACAAACTTCAGGATACACGTTTTAATAGATAGAAAGTTTTAAAAGATGTGTAAACGTCAATTTTATGTCCTGTCTATATAATACGTTTCGCAATAGAGGAGCTAGGTCTCCTGTTCTCACCACTAGTGGGTTCTAGGGATTCTGCTTGCTTTTGAAGCCCTTTCGGAATATGCCTTGAATAATTTCTCAGTTTACCTGTAATATACATGTATTTTTGTTTACTGAGACTGGGATCGTAAGCTTCAAGGCCCCAGGGTCGATCGTTTATACTGAATCACGTATTCATACACTTTTCCGCCTTCATGAGTTTGAATAAGTCAAAAGCAACGATTTGTGCAGAATAAAATATTAGCCCCAAATAAGGTATACAAATATACATATATCTGCGGTAGTAGTTACTTTGGGGAACATCAAGTAGGGTACACCTTGGATTCCTGAACATGTACCAAAATGCCTATATCTCAAGAGAGCAAACGCCTTCAATGGTGCTGTTACCGAGCATCTGGTAGATACCAGTCATGTAGGTTTTTAAAGTTTTTTATTCCTTCACGTTCCCAGTGGAACATAGGGCTTTAAGCTAGAGACGTGAAGTTTCTTAAGCAGTGTTTATTTTTACAGGATGAGGCTGCTAGCCTCATGCCCAACCTTTCTCCTTTTCAAGCTTTATTTCTGGCTTAGAGAGGTAAGGGGAGTGCGTTGGCCGGGGATCGAACCCCGGACCATCTGTATGGTCGGCGAGCATCCTAACCGCTATGCCACCAATGCACAGTCATGTAGTAAACACCCTGAAATCCTGTAAAGTTTTCATTCGAGTATATAGTTCAGTACTGCTCAAGTATGTCAAAACAGGTGTTATCAAACGCCTGAGACTTGATTTATGTGTTCAGAACGAAGAGGTTTTCAGTCGTTTTCTTGTCCTGGTAACTGAATTTCCCTACCCTCTCTCTCTCTTTTATTGATTAAGTAATCCTTGGCTTTACCCACCCCCACACACACACCTTTTGTTATAATGTTATTTTGTTTGTTTTCGATTTGAGTTGGACTCATCACGGTGTTACTCAGCTTGTAAGTCATTCATCATATTCTTCACCTCTTGTGTGTATTGCGTAACTCTTCTGCTGTTGTATCTAAGCGCTTATTTCTTGCTTAAACTTAAACTTTCTGTGTATAAGCTATATAAGTGTAATTTTGTGATCACTATTTATCAAATTTTGAGTCCCCTGTTAAATGAAATTATGCCACATTAAATTAATTAATTACATTAGGCTTTACGCAGCTGATGAGAAGTCGGCGAAATAAACGATGATCGCATCTTACTCTGTTGTTCTTGCTTCACCTTTTGTTTAGTTTCACTTGCAGGGTAACTTGTTCAAATTAAGCGCATTGATGTGTGTCACTGCTGGTGTGAAAAAATCAATCGAAGACATCATAAATGCGTCATTCATAACAACAGAAACATACTCTGTAGATAGAGAGTATTTTTCCACGAAAAATAGTAATACTGTTCTATACAATTTCACAAATTGTTTTCTTTTAATTTATGTTTATTTTATCCAAAATTTATATTTTAGTTGAATGCTGGAGCACAAATTGATGCCCGTGATACATTTGGCAATACTCCGTTACACTATGCAGCTGAAGATGGCGATGGTGGACTGTTAAGTCTCCTGTTGAACAACGGGGCTTCTGTTGATGCTCAAGTAAGAACAGTAACGAGGACTAAAGAAATTACTTTTATTGGCGTACCTGTTCTATCTCATATTTGTTTATTTATTAAAATAAAATATAAAGTAATCGGTGGTGGTGAGTACTACCTAGAGTGCTTCAGGATATGGATAAGCAGTTCTAGGATAAATAGCTCAACTTTCTACCATGAGGATGCGTTTGATACAAATCCCATAGTGACACTGGTTTCCATTTCACCTTCATTTCTTATTCAGTCAATAAATAACATAGAAAAGAAAAGGCGTTCAGCAAAGAGTCACTCTTTTCGGCGATATCATTCTCAAGTTGTACAAACCGCAAATTTATAGTAATTTTTCTTGGCAACAATAGGAATATTTCCAAAGATGTGTTAATGCAATTGTTAATTTTTTGACAACAAATTACGTAATTTAGAAGGCGTTAATCGGTTAGAAACTAAAATAAAGTTACAAAAGTAGGTTGGGTGACGTAATCTAATTGCTAGGGTTCAATGAAAAATGAATGAGAGTCAAGTTTAATGATCTGAGTAGAATTCACTTGAAAATGAATGAGAGTTAAGTTAATAAGCTGAGTAGAATTCACTTAAAAATAAACGAAAATGGAGTTAGCAACAGTCGTCATGAGGGTAGAGATTTAATAGAGGGTGGGGGTAGAAAATAATGCAATTAAGAAACAGACAAACAAAGAAGAAAGAGGTAAGACAAAATTACGTATTTGGTGTTGAGATAGATCAGGACCATTGTAGATTTAGTGGCTGAACAAACTTCTTTTTTTATGCAGAGTTCAGGATTCAATATGTGAATTGCCATTGCTTCTGCAGTTTGAAGAAGTTTAATTCGTACTCTTTTGGCAAGACTCCCACGTATTGTGTAGATAACTGAGAAGTTGTTTTGTGGGTTTGCTTGGTGTCCGGATTCGGTTAAGTGTTCTAGGATAGAGCTGTGGCGGGGGGTCTTCTTTCTCCTCGCTCCACATGAGCAGGTGAATTGGTAGATGCACATTGATGAGGCCCCCAGTGGAAGCTTATCCTTCACGTTTGTGCGAATCATTGGTTTCGTAGAGAAAGTTAGTCTGAGTTCAGCTGCGAAGAAGGTTTTCTTCAGTGAACGGCACAGGCGGTTTCTCAGTATTTCTGCTGAAGAATCTTCGTTGAATTGTAGATTCAAATAGAGAAGTTCCTTGGGAGCAGTAAGCATGGACGGTTTTTGTGTTTTGGGCTTCATGGCTTTTGTGATGAAACGTTCTGGGTAACCGTTTTCAAGGAGGATTCTTTTCAGGGTGTTCAGCTCCTCTTTTATAGTTTCCGGACTGCAAATGTTGTGGATTCTGTGAGTCAGTGAACGGATTAGATTTCGTTTTGTATATAGAGGCACCCAACTGTGAAAGCTGATGAGTTGTCCATTCCATGTCGGTTTTCTGTGAATGGATCTTTTGAGTGTCCCATCTTGTTCGCGTCTTGTTAGTTGCACATCCAGAAAAGATATTGTTGCGTTGGACTCCTTCTCTAGTGTGAACTGGATTACTGGATGGCAACTGTTGAAGCAGTCCAATATGTTCTTCTCAATAAATAACAGTTCACTGACTCAAAGTATTCGGAGAGAGTTTGAACATCAAATAAAACGCAGAGAATCACAAGAATCATATAACCAAGCACCGATGATCAGGACGAACATTATACTGACAAATTCACCTCGGATAGATGTTGTTTTTTGGTGAAAAGCAACAAACTGTCTTGAGAAACAGGCAGCGAAGACAAGACTGCAAGTGAACATAGAAAAGATGGACGTGGTGAAGATAACCAACCAACCAACCAACAAGAGCCACCAATAACCGTCAGTGGGAGAGATTTAATGGAGGCTACTTCCTTCGCTTATCTAGGAAGCAAGGTTTCAAACACAATCGGATACCACGGATGAAGGTGACAAAGACAGTCAAAATCGGAAAGTCCAGATACGCACGCTTTCATCAACCTGAAACCAGTTTGTAAATCTTCCGCTGTCACTCAGCATAAGGAACAAGATTCGCATTTTCAGCACCAACCTCAATCCAGTCATTTCTCCTATTTGGGTCAGAAACTTCCATTGCGTATAACGAAAAGGATTTTCAACAGGCTGCCTCAGACTTTTATCAACAGCTTCCCCCTTCGCTGGCTCCAAACTGAAGATCAAATGGCGAGCCAGAAAGAATTAGTACCAAGAAACTCCGGTGCCGAGCAAACCAACCGAGCATGAGCCGATTGCTCAACAAATGTGTAGAAGAAAATGGGGGTGGATCGGACATACGTTGAGGAAACCATCGAATGATATCGCACTAAGTTCAGGCCATTGTTCAAAAGGAATCCCAGTGGGGAGCAATGAGGAGTGGGCTGTGACTGCAATTGCGATGTGAAGGAGATTGTGTGAGTTGGAAGAGGAGATGAGAGATTATGGGTAGTCGTGGGGTCAGCTAGCTGTGGAGGACAGCAGAGAATAGAACGAACAAAGGAAATGTTTGGCTGAGGCCGTATTTTTCACTCAGAACCCAAGGGAATAATAATAATAAATAGGTGTTGAATTATTAAAAGAAGCTGGATGTAGGTTGGATGATTTCACCTACACAATAACTACAATTTCCACAAGACAAATTCATATTTCTCCACGTCTTTTAAGACTTATTTTATCATTTATATATGTCAACAAGATTTCAGATAGTCACGAAATATACACATTTGATCATAGGGAATAAAAAGACAGTTGCAGCGAAGAAAATTTTCTTTTAGACGAAATCATCATCTAGGCTGTACATTCGTGTATTTATATCGAATGGATGGGAAAGTTCCAGAATAATTTCCAGTTAAGGGTCAAATTAATAAAAATTACAATTAGGAATTAGTATGCCATAATAAACAGGGGGACGGATAAAACTCGAACAAAGTAGCATAATAATAACAAAGAAGATTGACATTGTGCAATTGGAGGTTAGAAATGTAAAAATAACAAAATAGATAGGATGTTTGGATAAAAAACTAATATGATGAATAATTGTTTATGCAGTCGGGGATTAAATATGTAAAAATAGTGAAATGCCAAAATAAACAGGAAGTGTGGATATGAAAATCTGGTAGTGTAGACAGGGATTAAGAAAAACTTAAATTAACATGAATAAACAGGAAGTTTAGATAAGAAAGGCGATGGGATGGTCATTATTTAAAAAAAACATTTACCTGTTTATGATGGCCATGGCAGGGACAGAGGTTGGACGTATTTCTTTTGGATAGAAAGAGTGGATTTGAGTTTTTGGATAGCTAACGCCTCAGCTATGCCCAAATGTCTTGATCTCACTCCCTTTGAAGGATTTTTCGAAAGGCGCTGAATGTCCTGAGTTGACCAGATGTTCTGTCACTGAACTGTATACATGTTTTTGGTCTCCTTTTACAAGCCAGACTGGGTAGTGTTCACGATGTTCAGATAGTCATTTAAAAGTAGTTCATTCTTCTTAGATGTATTACTAATAAACACATGGTACGGTATACTACTGATTGACTAATATGAGTAGTGGAATGCCACTCATACCAACCAATAGTCCATACTGTCTAGATTAAAGTGATGCAGATAGCCGGGGACTATGTTCCATGTTTAGCGCCTTAGATCATCACTGGTAAACCCAGTCTGACTCAGCTCAGAGACAGTTGAATCACTTTGAAACACTCTCTTTCTAACTGTCTGTACTTGGGTGAACTGATAATATGTTGAATGAAACTGTCACTCTGCGAATTAGTTGTCTTTACGCAATGTATAAGCAATTTGAGGTGGAATTCCACCGCAGTTTCTTTAGCTTGGGCAGTATCCAACTATTCATGGCGATCAATCAGTGGTGTTTGACAGAACGTATTCATGTTTCCTTTCTTGACTGCCACCTAGGAGGTCACGCAATGTGATTTGAACAAAGGAAATCCTGAAAGGTGTAAACTGTCGTTCGTGAGTAGACTGAATCGTACCCAGATTAGTAGATTGAGCTGTTTAATCCCGAAATATTTCTGAACTGAGTAACAAGGTTTGGACATCAATAATGGATTATTTTTGTTGTGTAGCACGGTGGAAAAGTGTTCTTACTTCACATTTCGCGGAAATTTTTCTTATCCTTCATTCAGTTGTAAGAAGGCTTCTAAACGCACACACGCAAACACATACATACATAAAGATGGGACAAAGTGTGGGTACGAAATTAAACTTCTTTAATTCTTATTCTTTTACTTATAAGTAGTATCAAGTTCTAACGAAACATTTTCCACTGGACGTGACACCTAGACGAAACGTCTGTATATAGAAGTATAACTGTCATAGGTCTACAGCTATTCATGGAGTGTGCATGTACAATGTTAGTTTCCAACAGGGATCAAAGGTTACTGTCAGTTAGTTAGTAACAAAGATAAGCCAAAACAGATGGGTGTAGTAAATAATGAGTAGCTGTACTCCTATGTAACCGAGAAATACGTATAATTAATTGACGAATATCTAATTGGAGACAACTACTAGCGAAGAGTTCAAAACGTTGAAGGTGGGCAAATAGATCAAGAGCATAAAATTGACGCCAAGGTCAAGGAAATAAATAAAAATGGTTGGATAAAATGTTTCTTAACATAAACTCCGCCTTTTTCTCCCTGTAGATGGCAAGAGTTTCGGTTACATGAGAAGGATGTAAGTGAAATTCTTTTGATCATCACGATCTTACTTTATAAATGAAGCTGAATAATGTTTTTACAGATGCTGCATGGTCAGAAGTAATAATGTGCTTCAGAAATGAACTGCTTGCTGTTCTGAATTCTTCTTTCAACAAGTATGCTGACAGGTGTTTATGATCACTTCTAGAAAATATTACTCTGGTACAGCTTGTGTAATCCCCTCCACAGAAGCAAGTGAGCCAATACATTCACACTGAAGCTGATGACAGTGTGATCTTATTATTCATGACTGACTGGTTCCAACCGAGGACTTTACACAGATGTAGAGTAGTTCCA